GAGCTCTTAGAATTGTCTCTGTCTTGTACTCGTTAAAATTTTCGTTAGGTCGACTTGTTCTTTTTTGAAATTATGTGCTGCAGTTCTCAAGAAACACATAAAGTTATAAGAAAACCCTTGATCTACCAGCTACCCAGGTAAAGCAGTGAGGTTTTAGACTTCTTTGCGACACAAAAATGTATACTGGTTACATAGTTTTGACAGAATAAAGCATAAGAACTAAAAAGTGCTGAAGTAAAGACTACCTCTTGTAACTCTACAAAATAATTATTTAATATCACTAAAGTAAGTTACAACTTTGGTAGCGAATTTTCAACGTTTAAAGCATACCGGATATTTGTAGCTGTCTGATGAAGCATCATATGCAATCCTAATTTTTGTAGTGCTTTTTGATGGAATCAGAACTGGGTGGTGGGGCAAGTGATGAACAAGAGAAAAATCATTTTTTGGAGAGACTTTTTCGATGATTCGTTTTTCTTCTTGGTCTTTCAAGATCTGATCGTGATTTAGAATGAGATCTTTTTTCTTTTAATCTTTTAAGAGTCGACTTCAGTCGCAGATAAAAAAGCCAATTTACATAGCACCTATCTTCCCTACGTCGTAAGGTTGAATAAAATCGCTCTAAAACCTTACCATCATCTTTTTCTATTGATGAATCTTTGACTCCTATTGCTTCCAGTTTCCAAAAGTCATCTGCGTTAATCAAAATTTTTAAAATTTTCTTAGTCTCGGGATTACCTTCTAATGATAATAAAAACAAGAAGTTGCAATGACACACTACTTTCCTTTTTCCATAACGTACTTTCCCTAAAGTAGTACTGATCTCATACCAACCGTTAGAATTGTTCGTTTCAGAGCTTTCTTTTACAGTATCTCAATAATAATCAAATCCAATCAGAATTTCTGGTCGTACCCTTTCAGTTCTCATTCCACTAAAATTATCTATATTTTGAAGCCGTTCTGATACTTTATGGGCTACTTATGCTACTTGGATTAACTTGGATTCACCGTTTTCCAAGACTAAATTAAACTCTACTAACTGTGTTAATTTAGTAATAGGCGTTTTAGCAGCAAACGTGTAAATAGACAAAATTTCTTCATTCAGAGGAGAGACCTAGTTTTTTAGTAAGACTCTCGCTAATAATTAATTGTTGACTACCGGAGTCAAAGAAAAGATAAGTCTTTTGACCATAAAAACTCATGAGATTTTTGACTAGAGCATTTACGGTAAGGAGACGGAAGGGGTTGACTACGTTAGATAGAACCTCTTGAGTTGTTACTGAACTATTAATTTGTACGTTTTATTCCCGCTTTTCAATTAATTCTTCTCTATGATCATCTTCTCAAACTTCATCTCGTACAATACAAACTCTTTCCCTCTTCATTTTTTCCTCATTGGACTGACAAGAACTCCTCTTATCGCATAGTGCTCTATGATGATCATCCTTATAATAAACGCATGGTCTATTATAGGTACAGTCATGACTAGTATGATTAATTCTCAAGCATCGGCTACAAAGATTCAATTCTCTTATTCTGTTCTTACGACTTACAATAGTTTTCAAGTTAGTACACTTGTTATGAAAATGGTCTCCATTACAGAAGCTGCAAGGTAATCTTTTCCTTGTGTCATTCAATCTGGATTTTGCTACCGCAAAGGGGTCACTTGGATGAGTCAGCTTTGGCTTTGTTAAATATGAATGCCAATTTTCATTAGGCAATCGCTGGTAGAGAGCCGTCTTAATGATGATTTTATCGTCGATTTCATCATTTTTTCAAAAGTTGCACTGCGGTTTTACAGTTATTGTTCGTCATTGCTATACCTGCATACGCTCTTCCTTTCAAGCAAGTCAATAGGTAGCTAAACTTCTGAACTGCTGGAATGTTGACTGAAGCGGTCGCTGAGAAAAAACAATTCCAAAATTCGACACACTTTTTTGGGTCATTGTTGAATGAGGGAAGATTCAATTGTGGTAACTTAACCTTCATCGGTTGAGTACCAAAACTGAC